TGCCCAGAGCTAGAAATTGTCAAATTGAGCAAAATGAGGCATGGCTAAAATGCATGATCTGTTTGGTATTTTGAAAAAAAAAAAAACTATAAATATGCCTTATATAGGTATGGTCCTACACTATATTATTCAAATATAGCATGACCTATCATGCTATATTTGAATAATATAGTGTAGGACTTTACCACTTTAAGTAGTTCTTAATATCGTATTTCCAAAATGTTGAAGAATTAATAATTGCTGCTTTCCCATAACCTTTTTGATAAATAAATATCAGAAATGTTATAAGGGCGATGATATCTCTCTCCTTTAAAACCAGGGAATGACAATAATGCAATAATATGATAAACGGAAATCTAAGTAGATATCTAGTCTCATATCACGATACTTGTATAATATTGATATTTTGCCCATGCCTACTTTTTAAACTTATGTTCAATGCAGTCACAATGCATCCCTGACTACCTCCAGAAGTATGTATTTGCAGTTTGAGTGCATTTACACCTGAACGTTACATGTGGTCACATTTTTTCTGATTGCAATCTAAACAAGTCAAAGCTCTAACTGAGGTGTCCATGCTCCCAGCGAGAGTTCATCCTTCAGTGACAGATTAGAAAGTGTGCGGTACTGTATTTTAAAAGGCTGATCACAGAGCTGTCAGACCCAGAGGGAGAATCATAGAAACGCCAACAACAAACTGCCCGGCCTCGTCCTCCCCGAGGACTTTCTTTACCTCAAAGCTCTTAATATCATATTCTTATTGATGCACATGGGCCCTGTGGTTATTTTGCTGCAATGATTTGGAGATGTGTCAAGGAGGAACAAGAGACAAACTTGTTTTGTTGATTATGTTTCGGTGAAACGTTGCAGACTTCAGTAGTCTTTGGTAGAAAATGCCAAAATGCCAAAGAGAAGGTTTAATAACGTTCATTCACGGATGAGCTCCAGGAATTAACACATCTCTCCAAATCCTGTTTGATAGAAGTAAATGTCCTATGTTTATGTGTTTTAAATCCTGTAGCTGCAACCACAATATGAGATTTGGGCAGCACTAATATTTATCCTACTTCAAAACAGTGAAAGGGTTAAAAACGATCAGCATTGTGCCCAACAAAATTCCTTAGCAGTTGTAAAATCGAACTGAATTACTGCCTTTCTTGGCTAGATATTTAAATCTGACAACACAAATAATGCTTTGTTGGTACGTGACATGTTTGATACAGATATGTTACATCTAAAAAAACATGAATTAGATTAATTGTATTATTTTCTGGATGCACAACTAAGTGTACCGAACATATCAAATCAACAATCAAAATGTACCTTCATGGCTGCATATTGTTGCATAATGTCAGGAGTCTGTTCACAGCAGATGATAAACACTGACGTGACAACAGTCGGAGCACAGCTTGTCTCAAGTGTGATAATTCTCCATGGTAAATCATAATAAAAAACAAGATAAGGAACATTTAAGGCCCTAATTAAGCAGAGATTATCTTCGTCTTCATCTCTCGGCACGTTTCCTTTAACAGTCAACAATAACACTGCCGTGTCTTCAGAAGGCCTGGTCTCTCTCCCCTCTCCTTTCATCCCTGCGTGAAGATAAAAGCAGCGAGGAAAATAATTATCATAAACCGTAGAGTTTTATCTGTGATGGCGGCCGGTCGGCTCCTCTGACGGGACGTTTGGATCCTGTCCCTGCTTGATGACATCAGCAGTGGGATTGCCAATAAAACGCAGTGGAGCTCTTTAAAAGGACTCGGTGCGGCCGGCAGGCAGACCGCGAATCAATGGAGGGCGGACTTGAGCACACGCACACGCACACGCACACACACACACACACACACACACACACACACACACACACACACACACACACACACACACACACCAAAATGTACTTTTTTTAAATCTCTAAAAAAGGTTAAGGTCTCCTCATCACTCCACACAGATCTTATTTTTCGTTTTGTCGTCCGCAATCTTTCATTTCTTCAGTTAACGTTGAAGTCGCATGCTTTATGTAATCATGAGAATAATAATAACTTTATTCATTAAGCACCATTCGTGAAGGATGCAGCCCAAAGTGCTTAACCGAACCAGATGAAATGCACAAAAACATAACAATAAAATGAACATAAGTACAAAAAAGTTACCAAAACAAACCAAAAAGAGTTTGATCACAATCCAACAAAACGTGAACAATTAACCAGTCAAATGTACCCAAATGAAAAATGAGGTCTTTAATTTATGTACGTCGTGATTCATTTGCCCTTTCTTTGCCAATTGCACTTTTTTCTTGCAATATATATGCATAATTTTTGCCTCCCTAAACATTCTCTATTCATGATTCATTCCATTGCACTCAGCATTTCCCCTGTTTGTGTGTAGGTTTGTGTTAATACAATATAAGTGGATAGAAACTCAGCTATTGTCTTTCTGATCCCCTCTAATCCTTCTTACTAATATATCTCATGTGCTACATATCCTCCTCATATGCAGGCCTACATCTGTTTGTCTGCATTGTTCTCTCCCCTCCCCCTCCTCTTGTCTGCACCTGTTTCTCTCCCATGTTAACCTCCACAGTTTGACCTCAGGTGTATCACTGGCTGCTTAAATATTCTGCTAACACCACCATGTGTTATTGTTCCCTCTCTTACTCTGCGAGACGGTGCGAGTTCTCCATATATCAGCCCTGACAGATTGTGTTGATGAATCCGCCTCCGTCTGCTTTTCTCTGCGGCGCTGCTTTGCCTGAATGCTTTGTCTGCGAGTTGTATTACTCCCCATGTGAGCGTTTATCCCACAACTGTCCTTCAGAAGTCACACATACATACATCCATCTGAGACACTGACAGTCTCCGGAGCTGTTTGCTTGTCAGAGCTTTTTTTTCTTCTTGACTTTTCTGACATCCTGGATTTAAATGTCGGGAGCCATGCAGTTTTAAAGTGGGAGCATCTCTTTGATACCCTATCCACTAGCACTGGTATTTAAAATGCAGTCAGCCTTTTTTTAGACGGTCAAACTTGTTTTATAACACTATGTAAACTGCCATTGTTCATCAAGCAATTTAGGAAGAGAGCAAATGTCTGTTTATTGCTATAATATTGCATTTAAATGTAACTTTTTGCAACAACACTCATTATCAAATAGACGTTTTTCGTTGATTTTTCTTCATATTTGATTTGTAATGATGCCAAAATTGACACCTATGTTTTATACTATAACAATACTGGAGCAAACGAGAAACACTAAAGCAACTTATAATTATTTTTATTTTTATGTCAGTTTGTCTATGTCCTTTTCTATTACTATTGTTGTCGGTCGCTGCCACTTTTTAAAATTGCTTTGTTCTGGAAGGCGATGTTTTCTGTCAATAACCAGAAAGTGGCTCTTACACTTAGAGTCCTGCTGCGAATGTCTACTTTACATTCATTACGTTTTTGCAATTCATGCTGAGAATAATTAAACGTTTCTGTTTTGTTTGGACATAAATCTGTCACCTTTTGTTATGTTGTTGTGGGGTTTATTACACTCTCTGCAGGCGCTCCTGCTCCTGTGTTGTTAGACAATTCATTCACATCAGGCAGAGAAATGGTAACAATGGAATAAAATGCATATCTCTCTGTGTGTGAGAAATTGCAGTTATATGTACGTTCTCTGATAAATATGTGACAAGATAAACTAATTGATGAATACAAATCTTTTAATCAGAATCCTGTTTGTTTGCCAAGTAGGTGTTCCCACTAACAAGGAATTTGTTTTGGTTTAAATGGTGCATACATAAACAAAAAGTTAGAGGAATAGTTTGTGGAAAAGGGGCAAAGAAATTAGTTGTACTATTTAAAAACAATAACAACTATTATATAAAAGAGAGAAGTATTTACAGAAATATAAATACACAAAACACTAAGTAAAAATATGACAAATACTAGAATATAAAGTGGAGAGCTGTGCAGGTTTTTAATTGAGTTTAAAACGTAAAGGTGGGGTAGGTAAGTTTGAGAAACCGGCTCGAGATACACTTTTTGTTATATTCCAGGGAATGCTCTTAACATCCCGATAGCAATGAATATCTGAAGTGCTTTGACAAAAAATCCATAAAAAAATGTCATCTGTGGAAGCCGTGGCGCTGTAAAAAGCACGACCAATCATTTTAGCCGGCCCTGCTAAAATAACTGGATGGCCTACCTGCCTGTCAGCCTTCCATCTGTGCACAAACTTATCTCGTGCCCTCATTGGTCATGTGCGCGTTCGTGTGTGTTGGAGGAGGGGCTCTGTAAGGAAGTGGCAGATTTTCTCCGGTTGTGTATTTTCAAATTCTAGCGCACTCGAGCCGGTTTCTCAAACTTACCTTTAAGATGTCACTTTTGTATATTTGCTGTCTGTGTTAATAGCAGCCTGCCATCATACACACTTGTATTTTTAGCTTGACACAGATTCTTGTATGCAGTTCAGCCGCAGAATAACCTCAGCTTCCTTTTATCTCTTTGATTGGCGTGCTGAGAGAAAACATCAGATCCTTCAGAGCCTCATCTGTCAGACGAGAGGAGAACTGGTGTAATCTCAAAAACGAACACATGTCCTTTTCGCTGCTTCGTTCTGGATTGAGACGACAGTTCTGATAATAAAAACTGTGAACTCTGGTTTCTAAACTGGCTGAATCGCTGTTGTGCGACCTCCTGCTTTTCTTCTTAGTGGCAACATTTCGTATAACTGCAGCGCCGTTATATACCGAGGAGCGGTTTTGCATATATTAGTCTGCCATAAATCTATTCAGCTTTGACACTGTGTGGCCATCATTTAGCAATCCTTTGTCTCCAGATGTCCTATTTGCCTTCATCCTGCATTTGTTTTGGTGCTTGGCAGTTGTTTTATGCTTGTACCTGTCAGCTGTGAGAGGAATAATAAGCAGGGAAGGTTGATGGACCGTGAGGATTTCAAGCGATAAAAAGGAAAGTTAACCGATGTTGTTTTTTAACCCTTTCTTTTCTCTCTGCAG